TGCCTGTGACTTTATGCGCTACGTGTACGAACACCTTGACTTTGGCTGATTAGCGCGGGAATGTGGAATGGCATGAATCAAGAGCTAGTGATGGTGGCTAAGACCACATATGATTGTTGAACCGAGGAGATGGCAATGGAAAAGGAAAACCACTGGAAGGGTGACAGGTGGTTGACATACAAAACATGTGTATGCATATATATATAAATAGTTTTATATAGAAACAAAACATGTATATACATGTATACACTGTATATATATAATATAAATATGTACATATATACATGCATGTTTCGTACTAGAAGGCAGGGATATGTATATGGAAAAATATCTAGCGGCGGACCCTTTCACATATATACATATTTTTTTCAAATATGTATAGATATAGGGCCTAGGAGTTCTAAGTATACGTTTCTGCAAGGAGGTATGGCAGATCTTTGATGTATATTATATTTGTGATTACTTGTGTATTATTGTTTTGGTTCTAAGCATAGGGGGTTCTAAGTAAAGGGTGTGGGTTCTAAGCGAAAAGGTTCTAACTAAGGGTTTTTTAGTATAAGTCCGTCGCTATAAACATTTTGAGAACCCCAAAAGAATGGAGCTAAGAAAGTAAAAAGGAGAAAAGTATTAGCAAAGGAAAGGGAAAGGAAAGGAGAGAATGATTTTGGACACAGTAGAGGACCACCACAACAAACATATTATTTAGGATCAATATAGCTCATGAAAAAAAGCTGAAAAATGAAAAAAAAATCCTCAGACAACAATTGAGGGCCACCACAACAAACATATTATTTAGGATCAATATTGCTCATGAAAAAAACTGAAACAATTGAAACGAACATTTCTTCAGACAATTGGATCAATATTGCTCATGAAAAAACTGAAAAATATTGAACAAAAACATGAAGACATAACTATTAAAAAATAAGAAAAATTGAAATAAATTAAACAACAAATTAAAAAATAATTTAAAACAGTTTAAGCATTACTTAAAAAACTGAAAAGAATACACCAAAAAAAATCTACAAAACCGACCCACCCAATCATTTTCCCTGGGCCTGAATTATTTCAGAAAAATCAACAAAAGCGACTCACCACACTAATCAGGATCCCACATTACATGCATACATGCATACATACATACGTACAGACGTACATACCTACATACCTACATACCTGCATACCTACATGCCTACATACCTACATACTTACATACCTACATACCTACATACCGACATACCGACATACCGACATACCGGCATACCGACATACCGACTTACCGACATACCGACATACCGACATACCTACATACCTACAAACCGACATACCTACATAGCGACATACCTACATACCTACATACCTACATGACTACATACCTACATACCTACATTCCAAACCTGTCCCTTCTGGGGGTCTGAAACTGGTCTGAAACCCATTGGAGGCCCCATCTCAGCTTTCAACTGTGACCAGGGGGAAAGGGAGAGCCAATCACATAGGAGATTTTCCCACAAAAACATCCGTTCAACATACATGCATACATCAATTGAGTCACATCTTGCGATTCGGTTCCATTCCGGACGTAATTCGGTAGTATTGGAATCGTACATGGATACGCCGAATTACGGTTCCAATTCAATCGAATTAAAAACGCCTGCGTACAACACCTACATAGATACATAGATACATAGATACATAGATACATAGATACATAGATACATACGTACGTACGTACGTACGTACGTACATACATACATACATATATATACATACATACATACAAACAAACATACATAGATACATAGATAGATAGATAGATAGATAGAAAGATAGATAGATAGATCGATCGATACACACATACATACATACACGCATACAGACAGACAGAGAGACAGACAGACAGGCAGACAGGCAGGCAGGCAGGCAGGCAGCCAGGCAGCCAGCCAGACAGACAGACAGACGTAGACAGACGTATACAGACGTATACAGACGTATACAGACGTACAGACGTACAGACGAACAAGATTAGCAATACTCATTTGCCAGCAGTTGCAACACCAACATCAAAAGATGGATGTGTTTGGTTGGTTGAAACTGGTAGTGAACAAGATCTCTTCAGCGAAAGTATGCTGAAGATGGCAAAAGCCACCAGTCGTGGCACCAGTGACACTCCGATCAGTCTTGCAACTGCAAATGGTTCCACACGAGCGGATGAGGTGGCCGACGTAAAAGTCGATGCCCTGCACAAGCCGTTCACTCCATACATCTTAGAAGAAACCCCAGCGGTGTTGTCTGTTGGAGTCCGATGCATGGAGCAGGGATACAGCTTTGTGTGGCCGACGGGAAGCCGTACTTCATCCGTCCAGATTTAGGCGTCATTGAAGGGTTGCAATCTGCTGAAGCTCTTTGCGATGGTTTCCGCGAAGGCTGCTGAGGTCGAGGAAGAGGGGGTAGATGAAGGAATCCCTCCTAGACGGAGTACATTCATTCTCGGAAAGCTTCAGACCTAGAGAAAGAAGCCAGTAGCGGTTCCCACCAATTTTGCCACTATCCCAAAAACCCATTCTGCAAAGTTTGCCAGAAGGCGCGCATGATGGCGCCGCCCGCCAAGAAGAAGGGAGGGCAAAAGAGATTGGATACAAGGTGTTTTGGGGATCACATTGTCGCTGACCACACTGTAGTCAAAGCTAACGTTGAGGAAGGCGTCAAAGGTGAGACAGTGGCATTGGTCATGAAGGACATCCACGCACAGTTTCGATATGTTTGCCCAAGTCAAACCAAGTCGGGGGAATCTTGTGTAAATGCATTCAACCACTCTCTGTCCCACAAGGACGAGGTAGGAGCAGTTTACACTGACAACTGAAGGGAACTGATTTCTACAATTGGGGAACTGGGTTATCGCCATCAAACATCGACTGAGTATGTAGACAGATCGAAATCTTTTGTTGAAAGAGAGATCAGGCACATGCTGGAAGGCACTCGCACGAATTTGGTGCAGTCAAGTCTCCCATTGCAGCATTGGCCACTTGCAATGCAGCATTTTTCGATTGCAGTCAGATCGACCTCACTTTGCATGGCAGGCATGGCACTTGGTGGCATCGACATGCACTTTGTGTGGCAGGCGTGGCACTTATGACTTGCCTGGCCTGCCAAGTACCTCTGCGAAGCTCGTTCTGGCTTTGCGACAACGGGACCAAGCGACCAGAGCCTTGCCAGTGCCATAAGTGCCACGCCTGCCACGCAAAGTGAAGGTCGCTGTCAGCAAGTGCCTTGCCTGCCACACAAAGTGCACGCCGATGCCACCAAGTGCTATGCCTGCCATGCAAAGTGAAAGTCGATGTCACCAAGTGCCATGCCTGCCACAGGAACAGCTGCGGCGACCAGGGCGACAACGGGACGCAAGCGCGCCACCAGAGCCTTCCCAGTGCCATAAGTGCCACACCTGCCATGCAAAGTGAAGGTCGATGCCGCCAAGTGCCACGCCTGCCACACAAAGTGCACGTCGATATCGCCAAGTGCTTTGCGTGCCATGCAAAGTGAAGGTCGAGGCCACCAAGCGCCACGCCTGCCATGCATGCCACCAAGTGCCACACCTGCCACACAAAGTGCAGGTCAATGTCACAGATGTCACCAAGTGCCACGCCTGCCACAGGAACAGCCGTGGCGACCACGGCGACAAGGGGACCCAAGCGCGCCACCAGAGCCTTACCAATGCCCTGCCACACAAAGTGCAGGTCGATATCACCAAGTGCCACCCCTGCCACGCAAAGAGCCGCGGCGACCACGGCGACAACGGGACCCAAGCGCGCCACCACAGCCTTCCCAGTGCCACAAGGGCCACGCCTGCCACGCAAAAAGAAGGTCGATGTCACCAAGTGCCCACGTGCACAAGCTGTGTGTGCGGAAGCTGTGCGCGGACAAGCTGTGAGTAAGTTGTGTGTGTGTGTGAGCAAGTTGTGTGTGGACAAGCTGTGTGTGAGCAAGTTGTGTGTGAGCAAGCTGTGTACAAGTTGTGTGTGGGGAAGTTGTGTGTGTGGGCAAGTTGCGTTTGAGTAAGTTGGGTGTGGACAAGTTGTGTGTGGACAAGTTGTGAGTAAGTTGTGTGTGTGTGTGTGAGCAAATTGTGTGTGGACAAGTTGTGTGGGAGTAAGTTGTGTGTGTGACACATCTGTATAGATGTAAAACTTCTTAGGTTTAGAGAGGATCGTGGATCTACTTATTGCTCATTTTCATGCAGGGGGCGACAGGGTCGCTGCATGGCTGTCGCCAACGAAGCTCCATGCAGTTGACTAGGATATGGAGTCTGATCAACTCCACGTACCTGCCTTTTTTTCCCGACATAGCACAGGGCCAAGCTCAGAACCCCAAACACAATGATTTTATTTCTTCACGGTTGCCACAATCTGTATTTTCGCCGAAACCATGTCGCCGATGTATTTTGATTATTTCGCCGAAACCATGTCGCCGATGTATTCTTTGATTATTCTGGAAAACCATCGCCGAAACCTTGTTCACCATTGACATTATTCTTTGTATTATCAACATGCTGGTCTTATCAAACTTTGTGGAATCTGGTTTGAACTCCGTTTGACAACATTGGATGCTCTACATCGGTTTTGAGAAGTACTACAAGGGGCTCTACTGTAAGTCTAATGGTCTAGGCTGGTTTGCACGTTTCAGGACTCAGTTCCTGCCGGATCACTATAATGATCCTTTCTTGTCTAGTGTGAGCAAGGTGTGTGTGAACAAACTGTGTGTGAGTAAATTGTGTGTGAACAAGCTGTCTGTGATTAAGTTGTGTGTGGACAAGTTGTGTGTGGACAAGTTGGGTGTGAGGGAGGCAGCGGGAGGAGGAGGCAGGCGGGAGGGCACAACCAAAAATAAGAACCCCACACAAAGATGTGGGGAAAAACCTAGCTCATGTCGCCTGCATGAACTTAGTTTGGTGGTGTTTGTTGTGAATGTCGCCTTGGCTTTCGCTCTTGCTGGCAACCGAAACTAAGGCTTTGCCTGTCACTGCTGATGCGAGTGAGGACAGTCACAGGGGCAGAATCTGAACATTCAATATCTTGCTGTCACTGGAGCTCGGGTATGCCCAAATCAGCATTCCTTGGCTCGAGCGGCAAGTTTTTCACGCGAACCATCCCAAATTCAACTCTTTATTTCAACAAGATTGCAACAAATCTCATAAAAAACAATGCAAAGGTGCGCGGTTGTCCAATTTTTGTGGACCCGTATCAAGTGGCAAACATCTCCTGGTCGTGCTCTTGTAATATATTCCTCTACAACTGTTTTCTGGAAGTCTTTTGGGATACCTTGCACAATTCATCACGCTTCTTGAATGCTTCTTTGGTAAAGCTCTTGTAGAACCCACTTATCAGTAGTTTATTAGAGTGGCGCAATGCTTCTAGAAGGTTTAGTCTAGCGTGTCGAATGTTAGCGTTGCTTACTGATGTCATGCCTTTCAGTGAAATATGTTGAAGCATGCCTTGTTCCAACAAAAACATGTCATTGTTTTCTTACATCGGCACTGGCGACCTCATAGAACGCAACAAGCTTGCCTAACACTCCTCAACATGCGCGTGAAACACTCTTGTGGCGCGCAACTTGTGTGGTGCAGTGGGCCCTGCGGTGGGCTCGCTTTCTGGCTAGGCTTATGGCGAGCCGTGGATTCCAGCTTGCTTTGTCAAAAGAAGCTTGGATGAGAAACTTCCATGTTATGGACTTTCAATATCACAGAAGGAGACGCCAGAAGAGCTAGATGTCATAGAAAAGAGATGCCACTGGAAGAAGATGTCAGAAAAGAGAAATGTCATAGGAAAGAAATGCCACAGGAAAGGCATGTCAGAAAAGAGAAATGCCATAGGCAGGAGATGTCAGAAGATAAATGTCATAGGAAAGAAGGTCAAAAATGTCACAAGGTAGAAATGTAATTTTCATCTCTTTTGTCACATCTTCAGCTTGGAGTTCTTGAAGGATGTCTCGCATGAAAGCTCCGCTTTCACATTTTCAACTTGCAGATTGTGAAGGAGGTTTCGCACGAAAACGAATGATCTTGCAGATTTTGAAGGAAATTTCGCACGAAAACAACGTTTTCACGACTTGAAGTTGCAGGTTTTGCAGGATGTCTGCACGAAAACTTCATTTTCAGAACCTCAAAACTTGCAGGTTTTGAAGGTTGTCTCGCACAAATACTTCGTTTCGCACAAAAACGACGTTTTCACGACTTGAAATTGCAGGTTTTGAGGGATGTCTTGTACGGAAACTAGGTGTCAATTTGAGGTGTTTGACATTCCATGTAAAGGCCAGGTTGTCACATACCATGTCTGTTGCCGTTTCGGCTAATAGGGCCCTTGAGCTATACCGCTTACGCCAGTAGCAAAAGAACCTGTGTTGGACTGCACGATACCGTAGCCAATTCACATTGGTAGCGGAGCAGGTGACGACCTGACTCCGGGTACGTGACAGATCCAGGGACTGAAATCGTAGAATCTTGAATTGAATTGTTCTAGGAACTCTTCACCCTCTGAAATCGTCTGATCCCTGTGGGACAGACCTGCAATTGGCTGACCTTGGGTACAGGCAGTCCATCGCAAGGAATCGTCGAAATGTCGGTAGCTGGACGTAGGTTTGGCTCTGACCGATCCACTGTGCCTCTAGGGACCAAGAGTGGATCATACATATACTATGGGGACGCAGCGCACTATCATGATTGGGAATTCCGGACCCTTTTACGAATAAAGCTGTTTGATTCTAAGAAAGATGTAGAATCATCCCCAACCAGAAGGAGTTCCGAGCCCGCGGGGCCGGACTCTGAAGTTGAAGCAGGAATCTCACCTCACCCGCGCCCAGGCCGCCAAGACGACGGAGCTGCAGCCTCTGCCGGTCCAAGCCCTAAAGGGGATGACACTGGCCGAGACCGAAGTGCCTTAGTCAACAAGATTGTAGAGGGCCTTCGTGGAGATGCCTTTCTCATTGCCAGGGATCTCGGTTTGGAGACCCTGACCCAAGAGGGAGGTCTTGAACGTTTGGTTGATCGAATCAAAAGCAATGTCTTTCCTAGAGCTCAAGAAGAAGCCAAGGAACTCTTTCAGGCCAGAAAGCAGGTGGGGTCCTATCCAGACAACCCCAAGAGCCCATGCTGAGCTACACCCAACGTAGACGTAGGTGGTGGAGAGCGCTGACCGAGCTTGACCCTTCCATGGCACTTTCTGATGGACTTCGAATGGAACTCATGCTTGAACCGTCAGGTTTGAGTCGACAAGAGGTATTGGTCGTAAAAGCATGTGCCGCCACTAAGGACTTCGAAGGAGTTGCCAAGGTGTTGGTTGACCAGTACTCAGGAATCCATTTGAGGGAAGGATCCAAGTCTTGGAATGGACGCTCGTCCACCCCACAATCGTATGGGAAGTTTGGCAAGGGGTATGGAGGTTCCAAGGGACCACAAGGTGGTAAAGGTTCCTACAAGACAGCCTACAACGCCTATCCCGATGAGGAAGGTTATTGTGAATATGATGAATATCAAGAAGAATACTATGAAGAAGATGCACCATACGTAGGGCTGCTAGGTGGGATTGAAGAACACCCCGAACAACCTATTCCACATGTTGACAACTCCCCTGAAGCCTTTGACTTTCATGATGAAATTGATGAGTATGAAGCAACAGCCCTGAATGCCCTTATGGATTTAGGAGAGGGAGAGACCGAGGACGACAAAGGCATTGGGGAAGCTATCCATGTGGCCTTCGGACGTGTGAAAGGAAAGGGTAAAGGAAAACCCAAAGGAAAGGGAAATGCCTTCATCAGGTCCAACCTTTCCATCGAACAGCGCAGAAAGCGACTCTCGGAGATCAAGGCCAAGCCGACATGCCTTCGCTGCGGCGCCTATACGGGCACTGGGCAGGTGACCCTATCTGTAAATTCCCAGGTGCCAAGGGAAATGCCAATGCAAAGGATTCTAAGCCCCCATCGAATCCTCCTAAGCCGACAGCACACTTTGCAGATTTTTCGGATTCATCTTCAGATGATGGAGTTTTCTTGAGTGCATCATCACCCAAAACACCAGTTGCAAACATGGCCATCAAGAGGCGTAGTGATCACTTGTGAACAACTAAGTAGGATTCGCACTAGCTGCCACTTGCTAGGGAAGTGTTTGTGTGATCTGTGTGATTGTTTATGTGCATACCAGTTGCTCTTTTGAAAGTTGGGCAGTTGCCTGGCTTTGTTATTTATACGACTACTATTGGGCTGTGCTTGCTCAAGATCACCCAAAACACCAGTTGCAAACATGGCCATCAAGAGTGCAGCTGCCCCTTCAAAGGCACCCAGTTTGAGGCCTCCCACAACTCCTGTAGGACGAAATGACCCCACAAAGCCTATTGGGAGTAACACGAAGTTCAAGTTTGGCCAATTTAAGGGGAAGACGTTTTGGGAGATCTTGCATGACCATCCTGACTACTTTGCATGGACGCAGAAGAACGTCAAGAGTCCAGGAGCCTCAGAGTATGCTGCATGGGTGAACCAAAACTTTCAGTATCGGGGAAACGTAGTGTATCGTAGGAGTGGGTTAGAGCCACCACCACCTCTTCCAAAGCAACACACACACACACACGTTTGAGGAAACCACCTAATCCAGCAAAAGAGAAATGTGCCGTTTGCACCCAGTTCACCCGTCAGGGAAGCACAGGATATTATACCATCAAGGAGACGTGTTTGGTTTGTGGCCATGCAACCACCACTAGAAGGGAAATGCTCCCCCAGTATCCATTTGATGAATGTCCACACGAAGACAAGGACTCTCGAGGTTCTTCAAGGTCTGTTTATCGAACTTTTTGCAAACAGTGTTGCGCGTTTCTGGATGAGACCCCAATGGAGCTCCAAAAGACCCGCAAAGCAGTTTCCCACAAGGTTTTGGATGCATCATTGGAAAGGGTTTCCATCATTGAACAGTTGGTTGATGATTCCAAAGAAGCAACCCTTAGCCCCGAGATGTTGGACACGATCCTCAATGATTTTGATTCCTTGGTTGCCACCAGCTCGGAATCTGAGGCCATTACATCGACCAAGCTGCATGAGCTTCTCTACCAATCCATCGCCAACGCAGAAGGAGACAGCAGTTTTTCCATGATTGGTGATGTAGAAAACTATGGGGGAGACTTTGCAGGGACCGGAGTATGTTTTCATGGAGATGAACCTGAAATAGAGATGTCTGATGGCTTGGTGCATGTGTTTCAAGAGACCCGAGATATGTACGACATGAACGATCCAAACATCTATGTTGTGCTGGATGAAGGAAGGGTGCAATTCAACATGTCACTCCAAGCACTGGGCTGAGGTAGTTGAGACCAAGTTGAAGAATCTTGGATACCAGTTTCCATTCAAAGACACCAAGGGGAAAACTTTCTCTGGATTGGGGACTGGTGGGACCTCAACAGAGGGATCCCGAACTTTGCCTTTCAGCCTGAACTTCATGGATAGCCAATGTACACCCGTACATGGGGTACTCGTACTTGAGACGCACCAGCTCAGCACCGGGAAGTCGCCACTTTTGCTGTCACTGCATGCATCACTCCCAATCAACTTGATCCCACGGGCAAAACGTTCCATAACAACTCTCAACAGATCCCAAAATGCCATAGGAAATTCAGAGCTGCATTCACCGCTGTTTCAGATATGCCTTCGTCGACCAATGCTGCGAAGACTGCCACTGGATTTCATCACTCTAGCACTTCTGCTGTTGAGTCCGCTTTGGACCAGGCTTTGAGAGGGCTGAACAGGTCGAATGTTTTGATCGTGACTTCAGGGGCCAGATGGACGAACAGGCAACCAGGCCTGAGCGGTGCCACAGTCTTGCAGATTGACTGCAGGCACTTTCACGATCCCGACAACGATCGATCATTCAGGGGATACGTCGGAAGACATCCCAACATCATGAGAGGCCTTGCCCGTCACAATGCCATGCAGGTGAAGGACTTCATGAAGGAAAACCCATCGGGTAAACTGGTCATTCATGTGTATGGCACCAGTGACCGGC